ATCAAATATTTGCTTATAAGCAGGTAATATATTATGTACATTCCTCTCTATTAATGAAAAACCTTTCATTTTTGGGGTCTATATTTTCAAACTCTTTAAGGAACATGTTGAGTTCTGAGAAAGCTTCTAAACTCTATTTTATTATTTTATCTTATTTATTTTACTTTAATGCTCACTGGAAGACATGCTTATTGATTTTAGAGAGATGGAAAGGGAGGGAGGGGAAGGAGAGAAACATCAATGTGAGAGTGAAACTTTGTTGCCTCTTATACTCTCCCTGACCAGAGACCAAACCTACAACCTAGGCATGTGCCCTGACCAGGGATCAAACCTGCAACCATTCAGTTTACAGGACAACACTCCAACCAACTGAACCACACTGGCCAGAGCTCTTCTTAACTCTTCATTGTGAATTTTCTTTTTTTTCTTTTCTTTTCCTGCAGTTTCCTTTTCTCTGGTCTCTTCTTCAGCTATGTGTTCCTATTTCAATTCCAACAACTCTTTATTAGTCAATTCCTCAGGAACCACTGCTTGGAGTTCCTCGATGTCACTCTCATCAACACCGAGGTTAATGTTGATTTTTGCAACTTTCTTATCCTTGGCAAACCGTTTGAAGCCATGAATGAACCTCTTGAATGCCTTCGTCTAGATGACACTCTTACACTCCTTGGTGACATCACCCCAAGTAAAGTTCTTGATGTTGTCAGAGATGCTGTAATCTTCCCAGAATTGCATCAGTGTCTTCCTCAGTTGCAGCAATAGACAGGGCTAGCAGTATGCTTTAAAAGCTGCTACAACTCTATGATCCATTGGTTGAATTGAAGAGGTGGTATCTGGAGGGATAAACACCACTTTGATATTGGTATGAAGATCACCAACAAAAAGGATGTTCAGGAGCATTATCAACAACAAACAAAATCTTGCAAACTATGTTGTTCTCCAAACAGTACTTCTCCATTTTACTGGCATAGCAGTTCAGGAGGACACCTTGAAAGATGAGCTGGGTCTTCGTGACTTCTTATTGCTCCTATAGTAACACACTAGCAGTGTGTGCTTATTGACGTGCTTGAAGGCCCTGGGGTTCTCACTGTGCCAGATTACAAAGGGCTTTATATAGCACGAAAAATGCAACATTGCCAAGCAAGACTGTTATCCTGTCTTTAAAAGCCTTAAAACCTGGTATTGACTTGGCCTCCTTATAAATGAAAGTCCTTTTAGGCATTCATTTACAAAATATGGATGTTTCATTTATATTGAATATTTTCTCTGGCAAGTAATTTTCCTCCACAATCATCTTATACAGTTTCAGCTGCCTTCACATCAGCACCCACAGACTACCACTCATTGTCACATTATGTAATGAATAATGATTCTTGAATTGTTTAAACCTCCCAGAGCTAGTAGTAAACTCAACAACATAGTTGGTCCAGCCTTATCTTTCAATATCGTGAACTTTTTCCTCTGGCTGTGATCATCACAGTGTGGAAAGGGATGGGCTTCTGTGTCTAGCCTTCAATTGAGGTCATTAGAAGTTTCTCCATGTGTGACGTAGCCTCTTCTTAAACTTCTGTTAGTCTTTGTTTCCTTCAATGAAACAGATACTGTAACAGCTTCTGTCACTTTTTTCTTTTTCATAAAGATCATAGCTGCAGTGGAATGGGACATGCCTGACTGGTGAGCAATAACCATCATTGACTTTCCATGTTCCTGTTTGTTATCACTTTTAATTTTATTTTCAGGTCAGTCACTCAATATGGTATCTCACTGACAGCATTAGCAATGGATTGTGTGTGCTTAGTAGCCACGATGAACAAAACAACACAAGATTAAATCATGCACAAGAGAAAATGAAGCAATCAAGAGCCTCGGTGAACATGAGACGTATGAGGCTGTTGCCAGTTTAACTTGGCAAATTGTTTTATAGCAAACTTTTTCTTGTATAAGCAGAAAGAGTATCCTCTAAAATAATGATAAGAAGTATAATAAATATATAAATCATAACAGTCATTTGTTATCATTATCAAATGCTATGTACTGTATATAATTGTATGTGCTGTAGTTTTATATGACTGACAGCACAGGTTTGTTTACACCAGCATCACCATGAACATGTGAGTAATGTGTGGCACTATGATGTTACAACAGCTCTGACATCACCAGAGGACAGGAATTTTGCAGCTCAATTATAATCTTATGAGACCACTGTTGTATATGTGGTTTATTGTTAACTGAAATGTCATTATGTGGCACAACTCCATTCTTACTAGAATGTTAAGAAGGGCTTCCTGAAGAAGGAGGCATTTTCTCCAAAGCCTGAAGTGTGAGCAGACAGGGGGTTAGTAAGGAGTGTTACAGCCAAAAGGGAACAGCATGTTCAAAGGCGCAGAGGCATGGACCATGAGCAGTTACCATTATTGGAGTGTGAAGGTGGGAAGTTGGGGACGAGGGCCTTGACAGAAAGGGGTCGAGGACAGGCTGTGGTCACTCATGCCCTGATGGACTTAATTCATTCCAGGTCACAAGCACTGACTGATCAGGTGGTTGGCAGGGTAGGGGCCTCATGGGAGGAAGTACTGAACCTAGACACAGCCGCCACATTTTTTTTCCCTCCCTAAGTCCCAGCCTACAAGGAAAGGTCTTGCAAGAGAGGCTTGGCTGGTGGTCTGGGCCATTGTAGATCTCAGCTTCAGGCACAGAGTCAAGGCACCATCAAGGCTGAGAGCTGGGGAAGGGTCCAAAGAACAGCCTAGGCCTCAGTCAGTCATGGTTGAAAAAAGTCAGCAGTCCAGCCCAATCCAGGAGATAAGTACCCTTGGACCATCACAGCGCACAAGACAGGTCCTGAGGCCCTGGGACAGGGCCTCACTCAGCCTCACTCAAGGGTATAAGCTGCCACAGGGCCCTAAAGACTTGAGACCTGTAGGTCTCAGGTGACAGATAGCTGGGCCCACTTGTCTGACGGACATTTCCTCAAAGGCACTGCCTTAGCCCCTCCAAGCTGCTATAACAGAGTCCACAGTCTGGGCAGCTTAAACAAAGGACATCTATTTCTCAGTCTGGAGCCTCCAAGTATGATAGAGGAGCCTACAGATCTGGTAGGTCTGGTATCTGTCACCTTCACCTGAGCATCTCCAACACCCTCACCCTGGCATCTGTTGTCACCTTTATTCAGGAATCTCTGTCACCTCTACCCAGGAGTTTGTCACCTTCACACAGGCATCTCATCTCTATCACATTTACCCAGACGTGTCTGTCACCTTTTCACAGCTGTCTCTCAGAGTAGGACTAGCATGGAGAACACCCCAGGGCACCTCCCCACAAGATATTTACCCAGGAATCAGGACCTTGCCTGGTCATGGTGGCTGGAGGGGCTGCAGACAGAATAAGACATGCCAGGCTGAGCCACAGAAGCCTGCTGACCTTGAAAACCTCTGTTGCACCCCCACCCCCAGCTCAGAGCCTAGAGGCAGCCTCCAGCCTCACCTCTGTGGCAATGGGAGATGGTTTACACAGGGCCTGCATGGCTGCAAGAGGTCTGGAGCGCCATGCATCTTCCCAGCCCTGGACGGGCCCCAGGGAAGGGCTGGAGGGGAGTGGGCAGGTTAACATCCCTCACCCAGGACCCTGCAAGAGGTCCAGAGGGCTTCCATGTGTGAAAGGCCTACCCACACGGGAAGGTGTGGGTGCGTGGAACAGCTGGCAGGGCTTCGCTCAGCCTGCCCAGTTCAGCTCAGTAACTGCTCTCACTGCACCAGGAGCCTGCATGAGTGACACGCTCCAGCAAGGTGGTCAATTAGTGGAGCAATTCCCAAACTAAGCTCAAGGAGCAGTTCTCAGATTAGGTGCTCACTGCATGGATGGCCAGGGCCCGGGGGTGGCAAGGTGGTCAGCCACTGTCCTCACCACCTGGCAGGCCGAAGGGTTCCTGAGTACAGGTCTCCCATTCAGGCACCCTCATTTCTCTCAGGGGAACACAAATGAGTGACATCACCTGAGTGAATAATTCCTGAACATGGAGCCACACACCGTATCATGGAGCCGAATCCTCTGCTCCCGTTTTGTTTCCCACTGCCTGTGCCCAGGGCCCCATGGCATTATTCCTGGAGTCAGCCTGCCTGAGGCCTCCAGAAACCTCCATGGAAAATGCAAACTCATGATTCTCAGGTAGACAAATATGCTTATTCCCCCATAGAGGCTGTGGGAGCGGGGAGCTGACAAAGGGAGGCAATGAAAAGACAGGCCCATTGGGGGCCAAACTGAAGCCCAAGCAACATGTTCTGCATACATATGCGCTCAAGTGTACAGGAGAGCTATGTATGTGTATATGTGTTTGCATGTGTGCCTGTGAGTATGGCACCTGTGCTTGTGCCCGTCAATGTGTGGGGAGGGCCAGTGGAACTTTCGGCTGCTGTGTGGTCCAGGGCTCTGAGCCTCAGATCCCTCACCTGTAAGGAGGGTGGTGACAGGGCACTGAAAAGGCAAAAATGCTACTCAGTTAGGTCTTCAGGAGAACAGATTTCCACAGGCATGTGTGGGTACCTTGGTCAGCTCAAAGGACCTCCAGGGGCCTAACAGTGAAAAATCAAGGGCAGCACCAGGCCCTCTGGAACATGTATCCTCATGCTCTTCTGTCCATGAGCAACATTTCCACAGCACAAGGCCAGCAGGAGACAGAGGGTCATGAACACCCTGGTCAAGTCGGGGCCCAGCAATAAGGAGGTCGGAGTGCGGTGCTAACACACTGGTCAAGGGGGGTCATGCACTGAGGAGGAAGTGGAAAGGCTGTTGCCAAACCCCAGGCAACTGAAGGAGGGATTGAAGAGCCAGAGCTCAGGACCAGGAAGGCACAATGATGTTTTTCATCTCCAAAATTTCTAGAATGTTCCTTGGGCTATTTTCAGTCTGGATTCCCTTCCCCTGGGATCCCAGGCAACTTTTTGTTCAGTTCCAGGCTCTGAACTACTAAGGAACCTGCCATCAACTCCCATGTGGGTAAGGGAAAGAAGGAGCTCTGTCACAAGGGTGGTCTGTGGGGTCAGGAAGGGGCCCAGGAAGGGACAAGGGGCTGAGGAACAATCTCCTGGGGACAGGTCAAGGAACGGGAGAAGAATGTGATTGAACTCACACCCCCTCAAGTGCAGAGTTCCCCTTTCTTGGCTCAATGACCTTCCACCTTGGCCTGTTTCCTCATGAGGAAAGCAGGAACAGCAGCCTCTACCTGCTGGGGAGGCCAAGAGGAATCAGATAAATACAGATGGGCACTGGGGCAGTGCAGGAGCCCCACAAGGTCCAGGAGGCAGAGGTGAAGGGCAGGGATGGGTGTGGGGAGGTGTGAGCTCTGGAGACCAGTAGGAGAAGGCCATGAAGGGAGGGAACGGGGACATATGGCATGGTTGGGGGGATTTCTGGGGAACAGTGGTATGGGAAGATATCTGGGGGCAGGGACTAAAGCAGATAGCCCAGGTGGAGGGGTGGGGCCCAGGCCCACTGTGATGGGAAGTGTGGCCTAAACATGACCTGGGCCCTAGCCTGGATAAGGAACACCAAGAGCCCCCAGGGTCAGCCTCTGCTAGAGGCATCTGGAATCTCAAGTCGGAATTATCCAGAAAACACTCCTTACAGAAGGGAGGAGACTCCCACGTTTAATATCATTGACCACCTTCATAAGGAGTAGGTGAAGTGCTTCTTACAGTAATAGTAAAGTGAGAACGGTAATTGTAAAATGAAATACAAGCATAGAAAAGCAGGACCCTGGGTGGGCAGAGAGGTGGGGGCTCTTTGGTGTGTGATAGGCAGCAGGGGCTGGTCCATCAGAGGCCCCCCAGGTTATCTGTCAGGAAGGCTAGCAGAAAGCGGCTGACGTGCCGGTCCACAATGATGGGGGAGAAGCCCAGGACACGCCGGGCCCTTGGCAGCACCTTGGAGTCTGAAATACAAGGAAGGGGGATGTCTCAGAACCCACCAAAGATGTCTTCTCTCAGCCTCAAGATATTGCCAGCCCCAAACCTGACTGGCATGGGGTCAGCACCCCCAAGGAGAGAGCCAGGCACTGACCCCACAGAACCTCAGCAATTTCAGCACTGTCAGAAAGGGACACCAGGGTTGGCAGGGATGCCATGCTGGGCCCGGAAGGGGCCTGAGCCACAGGCCTCCAGTCCACCCCTCAGGGCCATGACACCGGAGTGGACCTGAGACTGTGGGGGATGCTCTGTTCCAGGTCAGGCTTTCTAACCCCTGAGCTCGGCTACACTCCTCCTCCCACAAGGGGCCACCATTCTCTGACCCCTGAGGGTGGTGGGTCACAAGGGCCACATGTAGGAGATGAGACCCACTACCATTGGGTCTGGTGGGTTTGAGCCCCACACTTCCTGTTTCCCCTGAGCCTGGCCTCTGTCGCACTCCTGGTGAGCAAACTGAGACATGATGAAGCCAGAGACTCATGCCTTTCTGCAGAGCTGAGTGGGTAGTGTGCCCAACAAGCGCGGGAGCCCCCTCTGCCCTGGGGTCTCTCATGAACTGGGCTGAGGCTAGACAGTACTCACCTGGAGGACAACAGTAGATGAGGAGTGCCAGCCCCGCAGCCAGGCCAAGACAGGCCAGAAAGGCCATGGGTCCTGCAGGAGAAATAACGGTCAGCAGCTACTTGTACCTGAGGGCGGGGAGTGGTCCTCAGGCCACAAGGGACAGGCTAGAACCCCACACTGGAGTCAGCTGGGTGAGGATACCCCCAATAAGCACTCTGGAGGAGGGAAATCTATCCATGGGAAGCCAGGAACAGAGCCCAATTTGGAGTGGAGAAGCCCCCAGGTGGAGATGGGGCCCTGGGTAGGGGGACAAAGTGGGAAGCAGGAGGCCATTACCCCTGTCACTGAGCTCATGGCTTGCGATGCCCGAGTCTAGCTCTGTGCAATCTGAGTTCTCTGGAAACAAAATCACAGGGTATAGTTAGTTTTGAGTAGGCCAGAGAGGAAAGTGGTCGCCTGTCCTCAGGAAACCAATGGAGCTGATGAGGTCCCTCACTCCTGGTACCACTCAGCCCCTGGCTGAGCTGGACCAGGCTGTGCTGTCACTGAGCCTTCTGGCCCTGCTTGGTGGACTAAGCACTGGGGAGGGGACCCTGAAGTTTTGGGTCCTCCCCTTTGGTACACCTCCTGGGACCTTGAGGGCCATGAAGTAGGGGAGAGGCATTGTTCCCTAGTGGCCAAGAGGCACATAATGCAGTACGAACACCTGCGTGTCAAAGTTCTGACAATGTCCATGTGTCAGCAGGGTGCTTTACCTTCCCAGGCCTCCCCAATTAGCCACAGGCCAGACAGCCCTTGAGGGCACCTGTGAGCTGGGACGGTGTTTGATTCCCAGCACGGCTGGGCGACTCTGAGGGCTAGCATAACAGGACCATCCGGTGCCAGAGCTCAGAGCTAGTCCTGCAGGCCTGTCTTTGGGGGTCAAAGACACCAGCCCCAGGTCACAGCTGAGTGACCTGGGCGAGCCACCCCATCCTGGAGCCTCTGACCTCTTCTAAGAATCGGGAAAGAGCAGCCACTCCTCCTGGGGACCAGGGCACAGAAGCCTAGGACTGAGCTGCTGCACCTCCCCAGCCTGTTCCCAGGAAATCAGAAACCTTCACACACCTCCCAGGACCAAAGACAGGACCCTGTAAAATGAAACACACATGCCCTGAACTGATCATCGAGGCATGAGACTGTTCTACAGAAAAATCCACACCAGGGATCCACCTGGATGAAGGGTAAAGACAACCTCAGTATCCACCAGAGGGGCCAGTTCATTCTGGCTGATGCAACCATGAGCCACTGCAATCATAAAGGGAAGGGTTTACACAGTGCACTGGGTTACGGATGGAAGAGGCAGATCCTACCTTTTGTGTAAAAGCTGGCACAAAACAGAGAGACACACACACACAGAGAGAAATATGTGTTGCCAGACATACTCTCTCTACTCTCTAGAGGCCATATAAGATGAGACATGGACAAAAGCAGTCTCTGGTGAGGAGCTGGGCAGGTTGACGCTGAGCCCTGAGGACTGGGACAGGCACTTACGCAAGGTGTGCCGGCTGGGCAGGCAGCTGTGAAGGGGCTGTGCGTGCATGTATAGAGCTCGGTAGAACTCCTGGCAATCCCGCTCGTTGCTCCGCTGCAGATGGCCCAGGAGGTCACATAGCCGCACACGCAGGGATGCCTTGGGGTTCCGGAACTGGGGACATATGGGACACAAAGGAAGGTCAGCCATAGGGGACTGAGCCAAAGGCGGCTGTGGGATGGGGATAAGTGGGCTCCAGGATCAGCTCCTTCATCCTCTCTGGCTCCAGGTTCCTCAGGGGGACTGGGGATGGTGATTCCACCCAGGTGCTCCCAACACCAACACCCCTGGGGAGATAGCAGCTGGGAACCATGGCCTCATGGTGTCTGAGAATGCGCTGGGGTCACAGCACGGGTGCTAATCCTTGCACTCCCAGTGAGGGTGGAAACAAAGTCACCAAGGATGGCAGCAGTGACATCATCCCAAGTGTGGAAATTTAGTAGCTTGCTGTGTGGCTTCAGTAAATCTCTTCACCCTCAAAGACTCGGTCTGTTCACTTGTAAAAAGGGAATAATAAGCCCATACTGTACGGCTGTTGCAGGGAATCTATGAGATGATGGTGTGATAACTTCTAGTAGTTTACAAGTCTACAGGAATGTGATTCAAGTATTTAAAAAATAAACCAAGGGTTAAGAAGAAAAGAATTGGCTCTTTCGATATGTCTGATGGAGAAATGGGTGTCCTAAAGGTCAGTGGACAAGGTACTTGACATTGACCACCAGGGCCTGGAGGATGTGGCCTGGTGCTGCCACCTAGTGGCAGCATACTGTTCTACATGGAACCAGAATTCAGTACCCAGGAGGACAGGGACTGTGCTGGCGTTGAGCGCAAGTGCTGAGGAGTTTCCTTTTTCTTGTACAAACCTTGAAAATGTTTCCCCTTTTTTTTTTTTTTTTTTACACTGAATGTGTTTTAGACTTTTAATTACAATAGTCAGATACAAATTTGAGCTCCTACTTTTTAACTTCCTGTACTACTTTTATAAACAGTACCAGGTCTACATGCATTCCTTTTCTATCAGGGATCAATTTTACCTGTCCCCCAAAAAGGCCCTCAACCCTCCAGACAGCCCCACATGCGATGCCATTTACCTGCGCCACAGTAGGAAATTGCAGCTCCAAAAGGGCCCATGCAGTCACCCATCTGGGAGGCAGGCCCTGCACCCCAAAGTCCTACCTGGTCTCTGGCACCCATCCTCACTCCCACACAAAAGCCAGAGAAATAGTGTAGTAGGCCATGGTCACCCACTCTTACCCAGTGTCCAAAAACAGGATGGGCCAGATTACATCTAAAATATTTGCCCGCCCTGGCTGGTGTGGCTCAGTGGATTGAGCATCAGCCTGTGAACTGAACGGTTGCTGGTTCAATTCCTAGTCAGTGCACATGCCTGGCAACTCCAGGTCCCCAGTCGGGGGGGCTGTGAGAGGCAACCCATTAATGTATCTCTGGCACATCGATGTTTCTCTCCCTCTCCTTCTCCCTCCCTTCCCCTCTCTCTAAAAATAAATAAATAAAACCTTTAAAAAATAAAAATAAAAAGTTTGCCCATTTTGAACTTTCAGAAGAAGCAAAGTAACGAACTGTGGGGCCTGCCCAGTGCCTCTACTCCCATCCCCTTGCCTTCTTCCCAGGTTTGTCATGTTGTGGGTTGCTGTAACATGTCTCCTGTGACACTCCCATCATTTCTGGAAGGGGCCAACAAGCACAATTACATATAAAAAGATTGAGACTGAGAGAGGTGATGTTCTGGGCCCAAGGTCACTACAAAGAGACAGGTTTTCACCTCTGAGCTCTCTTTCCTCCCACTTTCTTCCACCATAGAAAGGAAAGCAATAGAAACATGTCAGGTCTGCCCCTTAGCACCTTTTCTGCATCCTTGTTGCTGAGGATCTGGGGGTAGTAGCGGTTCAGCTGGAGGATGATCTTGTCCACCTGCTGCTCACTCAGGCGCCCATGGCCCATCAGGAAAGGTGTGTCCTGCACCAGCCGGTCACAGTAGGTCTGCTCTGAAATAGGCAGAGAGCATGGAGGGCATGAGCCAGAATGGCCAGAGCGGGGCGGCAGGTCTACCACAAAGACATGGCCTTGGTGAGAACCTCTCACAGCAAGGCCCCCATGCCCACAAGCAGCACACCAGCTGTAAGGACCTGGACAACTATTGATACCCTGGCCCGCATCGATCTCAATGCACAGCCCAGAGCCCTCCATGTCTTCAGAAGATGTGGTAGGTGGGTGTGGTGAGAACTGTCCAGAGTGCTCAAAAACAGAACAGGGCCTCTGCTCCCTTCCTTCAATGAACATAAACTCTTCAGGGGCTAAGAGTTTGCTGTTCACAGGCCCCCATAGGGTCCCTCTGGAAGTATCCAGGCCTGGGGAAGGACACAGGCAGCCTGGAAAAGGCCTGACACAGCTTCCACACATGCCACTGTCATGGGGACAGAAGCACAGGCTCAGGGTAGGCTGAGATGGCATGGCTGCATGACCACGTAAACAGCAGGTGGACAGGATCACCCTTCACCCTGTCTGCACGGCCTTAAGAAGTACCAACAGCAGGCCAGTGAGTGTGCCTGCCCAGAGTACGGGGAAAGGGTTTTTCTGTCTTTTCTTTAAGAATCACCATTAAAAAATCATTGTTGCACCTTCTTTCCATTAAGAACATTCTTTAGAATGACAAGCCTTTAAAGATCATGGGTGGGATACAGGTTGGCAGGTAGGGGACACAGGGTATCCAAGAAAGGATCCTGAGTCCCTGTGGCACCAGCTGCCTGAATAGGTGCACCACCTTACTTACCTACCTGTGGCAGCTTGTCCCGCTTTCCGATGGACACAGGGGCTGTGGGGCGGGCAGAGCTGTATAGGAGAAGAGTTTTTGTACGTGATTGGAGTTAAGTTGGTATCAATTCAAATTAGACTGTTACAACTTTAGGAGGTTATGTATAATCTCATGGTAACCACAAAGAAATATCCACACAATATACTCAAAATTTGTTACTACGAAAAATCAAGTAAACACAAAAGAAGGCAGTAATGGATGAAGGACAAAAAAAGCTACAAGACATACAGAAAAGAAATAGCAAAAGGTAGAAACAAGTTTTTCCTGCCAATAAATGTAAATGAATTAAATTCTCCAATCAAAAGGCAGAAGTTGGCAGAATTGATCTGTGATGTTGTGATTTATAAGAAATATTTATTTGGTCTTCGGCCCACTTCCTGGCATACCAGCTCCTAAAACCCTGGAATTTAATTGGTGAACAATAAGTCTTTTGTTACTCATAACAAGCCCCTTTCAACCTCACCTGAGTTTGTGTTGAGGTGTATTTTGGAAAGCTCCTGAAAAACCAGAAGTTGGTTGCCAGTTGCCAGAAGAGTCAAACAAGGGATTGGAGGGATGCAACTTTCAGTCCCACACCCAAACATCCCAGGAGAGGAGGGAGCTAGAGGTAGAATCATTCACTATTGACCAATAATGTCATTAATCATGCCTATGTAATGAAGCCTCTATAAAAATCCGAAGGACAGGGTTTGGAGAGCTCCTGAGGGACTGGGAGGGTGGCCCATGCTAACTGGGGCATGGGAGCTCTACACCCCTTCCCACATGTGTTGCCCTACTTTTCCCTTCCATCTGACTTTTGATTAGTATCCTTTGAAATATCCTTTTTAATAAATTGGCAGTAGTAAGTAAAATGCTTCCCAAGTTCTCTGAGCCAATCTAGTAAATGATCGAACCCAAGGAGGAGATTGTGGGAAATCTAATGTATAGCCAGTTGGTTCCTATCTGGATCTACAAAGGATCCTATCTGATAACATGGAATAAAGCTAGAAACCAGTAACAGAAGGAACACTGAAGAATTCACAAGTATGTGAAAATTAAACAACAAATGGATCAAAGAAGAAATCACAAGGGAAACTAGAAAATACCTCGACATAAATGAAAATAACACAGCATATCAAAACTTAAGAGATACAGTCCTGGCTGGTGTGGCTCAGTGGACTGAGCTCTGGCCTGTGGACCTAAGAGTTACTGCTTCGATTCCAGGTCAGGGTAAATGCCTGGGCTGCAGGCTTGGTCATCAGTTGGGGGTGTGTGAGAGGCAACCAATTGATGTTTGATGTTTCTCCTGCACACTCATGTTTCTCTCCCTCTCTTCCTGCCTCCTTTCCCCTCTCTCTAAAAATAAATCAATAAAATACTTTTTAAATGTTTTTAAAAACTTAAGGGATGCGGTGAAAGCAGTGTTGAAAGGGGAATTTATAGCTGTAAGTGTACATAATAAAACAGAAGATCTTAAATCAAAAACCTAATGTTGCACTTCAAGAAACTAGAAAAAGAGCAGGCAAAACCCAAATTGGAAAGAGTAAAGAAGGACATAATAGAGATTGAAGTGTAGGTAAATGAAATAAGAAGTAAAATTATCTGTTTGTAGACGACATGGTCTTATATACAGAAAACCCCAAAGTTAAAAAAAAGAATTGTTAGAACTAGTATGTTCACAGCAAAGCTGCAAGATACAAAATCAACAACAGAAAAATCAGTTGCATTTCTATACAATGACAATGAACAATCAAAAAAAGAGAAACAATCCCATTTAGAGTAGCATCAAATTAGGAATAAGTTTAACCAATGAGGCAAAAGACTTGTACACTGAAAACTACAAAAAAGAATTATTGCAGAAAGAAATAAGTCACAAATAAATGGAAAGCTATCCCATGTTCATGGATTGGAAGATAATATTGGGAGAATGACATATTACCCAAAGTGATCTGCAAATTCAGTATTATCCCTATCCAAACCCTAATGATGATTTTTGCAGAAACAGAGAAAGCCATTCTGAAATTCATATTTCAAGGAAACTTCACAGACAGCAAAAACAATCCTGAAAAAGAACAAAGTTGGAGCACTCACATTTCCTTATTTCAAAACTTACTACAAAACTACAGAAGTCAAAACAGTGTGGTAGTAACATACAGACAGACATGTAGACCAAAAGACCAGGATAAGGAGTGCAGAATACATAGTATTTTGAGTGGAAAAAAAAGAGAGTGAAAAGACAACCCACAGAATAGGAGAATATATCTGATAAGGGAATAATATTCAGAATATATAAGGAACTGCTAAAACTCAACAACAGAAAACCTACAAACAATTCAATTAAAAAATGGGCAAAGTAATTGACTAGGCATTTCTCCAAAGATACATAAATGGCTACTAAACACATGAAAAGATGCTCAATATCATTAGTCACTAAGGAAATGCAAATCAAACCACAATTAGATATAACTTCATACTCATTAGGGTGATTGTGAGTGTGTGTGTGTGTGTGTGTGTGTGTGTGTGTGTATATTACTAATAATGTGCTTATTATATTGATGGATTTTCATATGTTGAAACATCCTTGCAATCCAGAAATAAATCCTTTTAATGTGCTGCTGAATTCAGTTTGCTAGTAACATACAGGGTCCGGCAGAAGTAAGGCCTGAGTGAATAGGGTAAAAATATAGGTATAATAATTTATAGCTTTTAATTTGAACATTTCACCTAAAATGTCATATGGTGTGCTTGAGTGTGATATTGTTATGTTACAGAATTACATGCTTATGATTTTATAATAAAAGATTCTATAATAAAAAGGGGCATTATTTGTGCCGGACCACACACACAATCCATACATATATACACACATATTGGAAATAAATATATATATGGAGAATGAGGATATAAAAATTGGAACTCTCATGCACTACTGGTGGGCATGTAAAATGGTACAGCCACTATGGAAAAACTATATAGCAGTTCCTCAAAAAGCTAAACATAGAGTTGTTATATGATTGTACAATTCCACTTCTAGGTATATATCAAAAAGAATTGAAAGCAGGAACTAAAAGAGATACTTGCACATCAATGTTCAGAGTAGCATTATTCACAATAGCCAAAAGGTGGAAACAACTGATGGGTGAGTAAACCAAACATGGTATATACATTCAAGGGAATGTTACTCAGCCTTAAAAAGAAATTCTGACAGATGCTATAAACACAGGTGGACACTAAAAACAATATGCTAAGTTTAAGTAAGTCAGACACAAAAGGACAAATATTGTATGATTCCACCTATATGATATATCTAGAATAGACAAATTCTAGAAACAGAAAACAGAATGGTGATTATCAGGAGCTGGGGGAATGAAAGAAAGGAGAGTCATTGTTTAATGGGGAGAGGGTTTCTGTTTGAGATAATAAAAAAGTTCTGGAAATAGATAGTGGTGATAATTTCACAACATTGTGAATGTATTTAATGCCACTGAAATAGTTAAAATGGTACCACGCACACACACACAAGGTGAATGGAAAATTAAACTGTAGTTCATGTATATGATAACATATAATTCAGTGATAAAAAGACCTATGAAGCCACAAAGACATGGAGGAAACATAAATGCATATTTAGTTTTTTAGTGTATTGACATTAGACAGAGAGAGACACATCAGTTTTTTGCTCCACTTATTTATGCATTCACTGGTTGATTTTCGTATGTGCTCTGACCAGACCCACAAATTTGGTGTACTGGGACAACACTCTAACCAACTGAGCTCCCTGGCCAGGGCTTAAATGCATATTTCTAAAAGTGAAAGATGCTAATCTGAAAAGGCTACATATTGTATGATTCTAACAGAAAATGCAAAACTGTGGAGGCAGTAAACAGATCAATGGTTGTCAGGGGTTCGGGAAGAGGGAGGGTTGAATAGATGGAGCAAAGGATTTTTAGGGCAGTGAAACTACTCTGTATGGCACCGTCATGGTGAATACAGGACATTACGCATTTTTCAAAAGTCAAAGATATACAACACAAGGAGTGAACCATAATGTAAACTAGAGTTAGTACTAATCTATCAAATTGGTTTATCAAGTGCAACAAATGTACCACAGTAATGCAAAGTGTCAATAACACTGAAAACTGAAGCTGGGGTGTGGGGGAGAATGGATCCTCTGTACTATCTGCTCAATTTTCTATAAACTAATATTGCTCTAAAATAAAACCTAATAATTAAAAAGAAATCCTATTTGGGAATTCCAGCGTTGAATTTTACAGAAAAAGCAGGGTTCACAGAAAGCAGATGAATCCCTGAGTTGGGTGGTGGTACCTGGGAAGGAGCACAAAGAAATTTTTGGAGTGATGGAAATGTTCTGACTTGATTGGACCAGGGCTGGCAGTTCCAGGGTGTATACATTTGTCCAAGCTTATCTAATTATTCACTAAAAATCAGTGCATTTGCTTGTAAGTAAATTATACTTGAGTAGATTTTTTTTAATGGAGTCATTGTGTTGGAACAAGTGGGTCTCCTCCTCAATTTTCTCTGTGAGGCCGACTAAACAGAGCATTTTCTTCCTCATCTCTCTCTCCCACTGCCAGCATATCCTGGTTGATCTTTTTACCCTAGAATACAAATTTCTAACTTCTAAATTCTCCCAGTCCCTGAAAATCTACCTGGGAGACAGAGTTACCAGCGGCCCCATTATGGTGAGAAAGCCTCACATAGGATGTCACGGGGACCTGCCACAGTCACATGAGCAGGACCCTCCTGCCATCTGGTTTCAGCACTCTCTGATTACAGAGTTAAGGACTCTAGCCAGAGTGTGCGCCACAGCCAGCCATTCTGTGGGCTCTATGGAACAGATAATCTTCACCCTTCCATCAATGCAAGCACAACCACCACCCCTTTTCAGACAGAGAAACTGAGAAACAGCAAGTACTCCTCAGCCAGCTAGGGAGTGATGGATAAAGGTCAGAATCCAGCCACAGTGCTGGGGCTACCTCTTGACATTCAGACTTTTCACCCCACTAATTAACTGTGCACTTAGATACATCAAGTCTGCTCCTGGCCAAACCCACAAGGGCAGGCCCAAGGCTGTCCTGTCCCGTACATGCAGCTGTGCACAGGGCCAGCACACAGTAGGTGCTCACTATGAATGGACATAGGTCTGAGACCCAAGAGCTGTTGGTGGACCTTGGCCAGCACCCTGAAGTAGCTCCTCCTGCCCCGCAAGCCAATAGCCAGGCAGGGGCCCTGCTGCTCCCAGCTGTGAGTTACCTGGCACAGTGGCACAGCCCATAAGAAAAGGCTCCAGGGTATGCTGCACCCTGTGCCTCCTGTGGTCGCTATAAACCATGCATGTAAACCACACCAGGAGGCCACTGGGAAGCACAAAAAGGCACAGGGAAAAAAATAAAAAATAAACAAACAGTCCTAGATGGTTTTGACAGGATAAAGGAAGAAAAACACTCTGGTACAAAATCCACCAGAACTTTGCCAGCTCCATTTGCCAAGCCCCACCTCCCCCACCTTTGTGCTCAGCTGGCACCAGACAACAGACTCCCAACCTATTACCCCTGCCCACACTAGTAGCCTCCTGGGAACTGGCCCCACCTGGCCAATCAGGCTCCTAAGCCTTCCCATATGGCAGCCTCTAACTGCACCACATTGCCCAGGACACCCCACCCCAGGCAAAGACCGCTGTCCCCGTGGTTTCCATCTGGCTAACTCATGTTCAGCTCACTGTCCTCCCCACACAGGCTTTCCTGAGTTCCCTTGGCTGGTGCCCCACTGCAGTTCAGATGCTTGGGCCTCAACCTCTCCTCTTGAATGGAATCTCCCAGAATTCCTTCCTGTCTCAGAGAAGGACCTGGCCTCAGGCATGGAGGAGCTGGGGCTACTCACTCTCCAGCACACCACAAGGCAGGGACTAGTTCCACAGCAACAGTAACAACTGCAGTAACATTTGGCCAGTCCCTGCCCTGTGCAGACACAGCGGGTCCCACACACTCACTCCACAGCTCATCACATAACCAGCCCCAGAACCATCATGAGGCAGGCTCCTGTCAGTGACAAGGGCAATGAGCTCCAGATGACACGCCTGCAGCCTTGTAGAGTTCCCCATTAAATGCTCCCAGGCCTGTGCTCTCTGGGCCTCAGTTCCCTATCCCAAAATGAAGGGCTGTGCAGGGAGGGGAGTCTAAAAGTCCAGCATATAAAGATGGCAGGGAGGGAGGAGATTAGGGGGCCTGGGACAGACACAGGTCTAGTCCCAGCTCTGCCACTGGCCACCTCAGGGGCTTGGCACTTGGTACTTGCCCAATCTGAGCTTTTGTTTCCTTATCCATACATAGATGTCACATTCTGTATGTCCCCACATGGTGCTGTTGGATGGGAAGTACCTACTGCAGGGCCAAGAGCATGTTAGGTGCTCAGAAGTGGCAGCCACAAATACAAAGGATGCAGAGGAATGACAGCGGAGCAGGTGGCAGCTGGGGTCTCTTCTGACCTAGTTTGGGTCACTGGTGTCCTGGAAGTCACCAGGTTAGAGTCTGTGAAATCCTGTGTGCGCGATCCATTCTTAGACTCCAGTGAGTTCTTGGGGGAAAAGGACAGGGACTTCTGGGGCCTCCCTGATCCCCTGGTGCACTCCTAAGTGGCCCCTGTCCCATGAGGCAGAAGACCGGGACACTTGGGGATTAGGTGTAGCTTCTGGGAGCCTTCGCATTCCCTGACCTTTCTGCCATGGGTCCATCACCGGCCCATCACTCTTGGGACTTCTCCAGCGGGGAAAGGTCCACAGAGCAGTATGACCCTATTTGGCTGGGGTCAGGAGGGAGGTTAAAGCCCCAGTTCAGAGCGGCGCTGGGGGGGAGGGATTCCTGGGCTGGAAAAGAGTTGGAGGGACTGGGGCAGCCCAGCGTAGAGCACAAAGCCTTGGGGAGCTCGGTCTGTGTCCCAAATTTCCCTGAGCTAAGAGTGCAACTCAGAGAGTCTCCGGGGTTCCACACACAGCCCAAGAACGCAGCGCCTGTCTGGCCTCCTTGTCAGGTGGCTGTGAGGATGGAGTGTCTATCTCCTACTGAAAGCACAGTAGGTCCACAGTATTTCTGGCACCGTTTTTACTTTCACCCAACAACTCTTTCAGACGTTATACTCCCCCGAGAACCTCCCCACCCACAGATGCGCAACGGCCTTTGGCCCCCAGAGCCTTCCAGGGCCTGACCACGCCCCCAGCCCGTCTTAGTCCTGCCGACCGAGGAGGCGGTCACGGGCACGCGGTTATGGACAAGGTCACTGGGTCAACGCAACGAGGAGCAGCCCCCGGGGAGACATCGAGGCAGCTGGGCCCTGGGCACCGCCAGGGTGGCCTGCCCTCCCCGGGACTGCAGGCACAACCGCAGCCAGGCCCACGCTCACCTGTCATGGTGACAGCACGGTGTGAACCCGGCGGATAGCAGCTTGTCCCCCCGCCGCCGACCGCCAGTCCCTCGTCTGTCTACCCGCCGCCGCCCAACCCCAGGTAACCTCCGCCCACCAGCCAACGCGACCTGCCCCTCCCCGGAAGGCCCCGCCCCCAGCGACGCGACGTCGCTTCCACGACCCTAACTGGCCCTCACTGACGCCTGTCCTTCCAGTTCGGCGCCTCTAAACCCCGCCCCTTACCGCGCTTTGCCTCCTCGAGCGTCTGCTACGGGGTCTCCAGTAGCCCTTAGCTCCGCCCCCAACTAAACAAAGTCCCACGGTCTTCGGCCGGGAGCCCAGTCCTTCCCTATAGGCCCCGCCCCTGACGTCGGTGACGTTTCTACCAGAGCCCTGAAACCTGCTCTCATCCAGCCCCACCCTCACTGACGTCCGCTACGTCCTTGCCACTGTCCGGAACCGTACTTTTCACTGAACTCCCGCCCTCGCCAGCTACGAAGCGTGCAAGAACCCGGAGCCTGGATCCTAACCGCCGTAGGACACTAGGACACTACTGTCCTCAGAAGCCCTTAGCCCTACCCTTCACTCGAGCCCCGCCCTCAGCCCCGAGGCAACCTTTGCAGGAGCGGTCGCCCGCCTTCCTGGCCCCGCTATGCCCTCGTATTGATTTGATTCTCATGTTGGTCCCTCCCCCAGCCCCACCCGGCCTGGCTGCCTGGGTGGGGTCTGCGGGGCTAAACGCTGACCTGCACCATCAGCCTCCCCCGGCGGCACCAAGCCCTCACCCTGGAATGAGAAAACTGAGCCTCTGGGAAAGGAAATGATTTGCGTAAGGTCATGCAGGTCAGGTCGTGTGGGGTACAGGGCCAGGCCTGGAGCAAAAGGTCGGTGACCGTCCACTACCCTAAAGGGATCCGCCGAAGAGGGGAGGAGTCGGACTACACGGTGTGACTTGGGTAGACAAACTCCTCTGTGGCCCCCATCTGCAAAAGAGGGACACCAACCTGTCAGTGTTACCCTGCCTAGGAGATCGTTTAAGTTGTTTGCACCTCAGTTTTCCAGTCTGTAAAATGGGTGACCTTGGGCCCACTCCCTTTTCTGTTCCAAGTTCGGGCTTTCAGCTCCGGCGCCCACCCCGAGAAGCCCGCAGCCCCACAATATGCGAATGTACAGGGTTCCCGCCACAAAATGGAGAGCTGTGGTGCAAAGGGAAATCAGGGCTTCCACAGCGGCCATTGCGGACAGGGTTCTGGTTTTACACCTGGTTCCTCCTCTGCATGTGCATGCTCTAATTTGAGATGCTGGGGCGGGACCTGGAGTGGATGCCCAAGTTCATTTATTGTATAGAACAAGGGGTGCTCAGGTCCCAAGTCCATGTGGTCCCCACCCCATGTCTGTGCTCAGTTGTCCCCTGTAAAACAGGGCTAGAACCAACCATCAAAGGTTTGTGCAGTTGAGGCACCCAGAAAATGGGTGCGGTTGTCTCCTGGAAATTCCAAAACCCTTGGGTTGAGTCATGGTGGTCACTACCTGAGAGCCACCTCCTCCCCAAACACTGAGGGTGCACCTGGCTTCACTTCACAGAAAGACCCAGCCTAAGACTTCCCTCCTTGGGAAGCCCTCCACAGGGCCTCTGGGGAAGGCCTCCTGAGCACAGTAGAACTCAGCCTGAACCCCATTACCTCACACTCTTCACCCTCTGTCATGACTCCTAACATTTACCTCTCAGTTCATTTCATGCTCTGGAAGTAATGTCAGTGCCATAAGTGTAGGATCTGGATGTACAAAGGACACAGTAGGCAGGGGCATCTAACTTTTTGGCGTCTCTGGGCAACACTGGAAGAAGAAGAGTTGTCTTGGGCCGCACATTAAATACACAAACACTAATGAAAACTGATGAGCAGGAAAAAGGTCAGTGCATAATTTTTGTGATATCTGCCACCATAGATAAGCAAAAAGTCCTCACATGATTATGCACCGCCTCTTTCAATAATCTTTTAAAATTGTTAAGCAGGTCCCAAGTTTGTTATCACTAATAGAAACTGTACATATCTAAGTAATAAAACAATATAAAACAATAATAAAACTAAGTAACCTTTTAAGTAAATTCACGAGTTTGTGTTGGGCTGCATTCATAACCATCACGGGCCAAGGGTTGGACACCCATGCAGTAGGGACGGCAAGGGGACCGGGAGTGAGGGCTCCCAGGCCCATCCACCTTCAGGGAGCTGAGACCCCTTTCCAGGTGGCCATCATTCCTCTTTCACAGCTACCACAGGATGCAGTGGGAAATAGGTGTGGAGAGGTGGAATTCCTCACAGGACTGGATCTCCAGGTGCAGGATTCACTCCAAGGGCCCCAGAACTCACTGACAGAGCCCAGTGCCCTTCAGATGGGCATTTGTCAGCAGCAACAAAAACCTGTGGCACTGACAAGGCTACCAGCCTGGATCCCTACCCCAGGCGGCAGGTGGGTGTACACAACACCCACGTAGTCAAAGGGTGGTCCCCAGGCACCCCCTCACCCCCAACTCCTTGGCTGACGGGCACAGAGCACAGAGACTTCCCCTCTCACTTGCTCCCCTGCCACAGCAGTGAGTGCTTGGGTCTGGAGGCTCAGCCATTCACAGTGGGTAGGCAGGGAATTCTGGGAACCCTCACCTGCTTCACTGAGCACCATGGAAGGTGCTTCTCACACGTGGAAGGGACTGGATCTTGCTATGCACTGTTGCCTTGCAGCCTTTCAAGGCTGGTCAGGCTCGCTTGGGATTCAGGCAGTTGGAAGGAAATTCATGGAGCAATGGGAATGCCTGACATGCCTTTATTCAAGGTGGAGCTATCCATACACACCGCAAGCTATGTGTTGTGCAGCAGGAAGCTCCAACTCCCTTATATACTAAATGCACACAAAGCTGGCAGGGTGCCAAGATATATAACAAAGTATGATTCTGTGCACATGGGCCCATTCTCAAGGCTATGGGAATACTGCTTACTGGGCCTGGTGAGGGAGCCTGACTGACTCCATTTCCCCTACAATTCACTGCTTCAGGGTCCCTCACTATACAATTTTGAGGTGTCTTCTACAAGGGTCCCTTCCTTGGTGAGGAGGGCAGAGCCCTGCACCCATATGCCACAACAGCAGTATAGACTATTGCAACAAGCAATCAAAACACAGGCCCTGCCACCCAAGATAGCAAGGACCCACCTCACAGGACTGGAATTCCTCACAGGACTGGATAGCCATTTAGTGGTTAGGGATGCCCACCATTCCTGCAGGGGATCCGGTGTTCGATAGCATGGTTCTTTGAAGTTAATGCCTGTAGAGCTTGGCTAGCATTGAGATGGACATCTGGAATGTACACACAGCATTCAGCCCCTACTAAGGCACACACCCCACCTTGTGAGGCAGTAAGCATATTTAGGGCCAAATAATTTTGCAAAGCTACTTTTTTAAATTATACACTTCCTTATTCAAGAGGCTTAAGGAATTATGTGTTGCATTCAATGCACGAGCAGTGTGCAAAGCAGTTATTTCAGTCTTAGTGACTATAGAAGTAGCTGGATGAGAAAAAATGGCTAGTGGACAATACCACCAGGGAGTGCACTTTACCTGGTGTCACACTTTAAATGTTCCCCAATTAGTTGGCCAAGTTGCAAGAGTTTTCTGAACTCGAGCAGACAAATAGGACCAGCCCCAGGTACAAGACCTGTCTTAATTTCCTGGCAGGTACAGCAGCCCACAGGAGCCACACACCCAGAAGGCCCCAGTGGTCACTGCAGCCAATGTGTCATTCTGCACCTTCCAGGAATGCTTCAGAGTCTGACACAGACATGTCACAGTCCAGCCCCATTTGGGCTTGTCCTTTGAGGTTCTTAATACAAAGGGAAGCTGGTCCAGACAGCTCTACAGCCTCAGCTGTGAGCTAACCCAAGCCTTCCCATATGGAGTACCCGACTAACGACCTGGGTTGGTCATAACTGCTGTTTCGTTCCAGCATAGATGACAGTGGCTGACAGAGGGGGCCTTCCTGGGCGCAAATGCCATGCCTTCTGTGCCTCAACTAGGGGTTCAGCATCTACTTGCTACAACAGTGGAGGACTCATAATGGGCCATAGGAAAATCACAAAGGTGCCACAAAGAAGCATTTCATGGTCTGCTGGCCCCGGGTATGTCACCTTTAAGATTGGGAGCCATGCCCCAATCATCCAGGGCACTATTCGCAAGTTTCTCTCCACCCCTTGTCCTCAAGGGGCAGCGGGAGCCACTCAACACATATGGGGGGCTTTTATTTCCCAAGGCCACATCCAAGTGACTGTTTTCCTTTGCTCCAGGCTCTCAGGGGCAGGAAAGAGAATATTTCCTTATTTTCCCAAGCCTGGTTTCAGCAAAGGATCCTTAGTCTGTACCTGCAGCTGAATTGGAGCTGCAGTCTGGGGGAGCAAGGCCCTTGAACTCCTCTCATTTAGAGTCCGGAGGGCAGTCCATAAGCACTGCATCCAATACCCCAGCATGGGAGTGGCAGCTGCAGCCCACAGGCCCTGCTTTAGGAGACCATTATAGCATTCAATCATCCCAGCAGCTTGGGGATGATAGGCTACCTGGACCTTCCAGTCAATCTGCAGCTCTCGGGCCCCTTGTTGCACCAAGACCCCTGTAAAATGCATCCCCTGACCACTTTCAATGATCAAGAGTCGCCCATAGGCAGTGCATAAACACTCCAGCACAGTGATTACTGCTCTCTGATCCAGGTGCCATGCAGGGTAAGCAGCTAAAAGTCCAGGAGCTAAAAGTCCATATGTGATTGCATACTTATACCCCTCTGAACTAAGCAGGGATCCAATTATGTCAAGCTGCCACTGGGTCAGCGGTACCTGTCCCCATACCACCTGTCCAGTAGTTCCCACAGGGCTCTAGGGATGCTCTTGCTAATAGACAACACAGGTCCCACAAGCTTCCTGTACCACTGCTAAGGTGACAGATAACCCCAAGTTTGTATAGGTTTTTATAGGTTTCATATGGTCTTCTGTCCAGCATGTAAGAGGCAATGGTGCAGTGTTGGGAACCATCCCG